AAATTCGACCAATGTTTAAACAAGCGCCAGAGCTCTCCTAATTGACGGATTCGAATTTTTCAAAAAGCGTTTGAAAGCTTGAGAGCCCTTCTATATGTGATTAAATTTTCAAGTATCTAAGGGCCTTGGTGTTTGTTGTGCAAAATTTGGAAAATCTGCAATTTTTTTTTCAAAATCTGGATTTCAAAATTATTATGCAAACATCTATCGAACCGATTCTAATGAAACTTGGTGCGATGATTCTACATAACATGCAGTTTTATTGCGCCAAGTATGAAGGTCCTATACCCAATTTAAAGATCCCAAACAAATTCCCTAAAAAGTAATGTTGTCTAACCCAATTTTTGGCGATTTTTTCGATTTTTACAATAATAATCATGATTTATTCGATTTGTAACTAGTCATATTTAAAAAATTTAATTACAAACATTTTTTCCTCTTCCATTTTCGTCTAAAATCAACTCTTGAAAATATACATAATTAAATAGGAAAAATATGACAATTTTCGATTTTTTTTACATATTGTACCGCCAAAAGTTAGGCCCACGTTTTTTTTTATGCGCATAAAAAAATTTCTAGTGATATTTGAAAGCCAAAATGCCAAAAATCTCCGTGGATATACGATTCACCCAAACCAAAATAGATACCGCCTAGTCTATTCGGAAATATTTTGGAGAAAATAACAATATATAGAGTTTTTAAATGTTATATGAAACTCAGTTTTTTCAAATGGAACACCTTGTACATTAAGAAACAGTTCGATTAAAAAATATACTTATGTAGGTATATCCAGTAGCATCAATCTTTTTATAAGGTGTCGACCAATTTGACAAACAAACTAAAAATATGGTGAAAAAGAGTCAAACCCATTTTAAATAGAATCTGAAGTTACTATATGGAATTATATTGATATTTGCAAGTATATAGCGTTTCATTTTAAAAATTATATACCTTTATATACCTACGAACCAACTTAATATAAGATCTGCTGTATATTTTAAAAGCATAGGTACTGTATACCTGTGATGTATACAGGAGCTGTATACTTATGTAATTTGATTATATTGATGTACATTTTTCGCAGACGAGATAGTAACCAAAGACCAAAGGTTAAATAAATTTATTACTATTTCAAATGAAATTTAAAAATGTTACATTCCTTTTACAGAATAGATAGTCCTGGTCTTCGATAGGTAAAACCTGGTGAGTAAAAGTGAAATATAGTATATTGTGCAATAAGTACGGTAAGTTGTCTACTGCCCACGAGAGCGGAGTTCATGCACTCATCCACTCAAGTGGGCAATAGACAACCGCACGAATTGCACATACTATTTTTTATTACGAATGCGGTGAAATCTTAGGGTCAAGGGGCGAAGCCCCGCTGTGGGGTCCACAAATTTTTATTCAGTTTAGGTTAACATAACCAACAGTCATTTAAATGTCACTTTTTAAAAATAATATTTTCGAGTGTATATTTAAATTTTGCGTGTTTTATAGCCAATTCGCGAGCGACAAGTGTGATAGCGCGCAAACCAATAGAGTAGTCACACAGCTATTTATCGACCTAAAAAACAAGCGAAAAGATAGGACTTATCCCTCATGAGTAATAAAAATTATATTACCTAACGAAAATATAAACAAAAGTCAATAAATCAGGTGCCTCATTAGCTTCTATAATTTTATCGTAGATTCTACGTTCAAAAATAAAAAAAGGCTATAATAAATATAGATTTGAAAGTGCTTCCTAATGGAGCTCCGAGTCCTTGATTGTGCGCCTTTGTGGTATATAATTAAAAATATGTAAGGGTATAGAAGAATTTACGGGGAATTACTCATAGAATTACTGGGATACAGCAGGATTTACTAAGGATTTACTGAAAAGTAGGAGGATTTACTAAGGAACTACTAGGGTACACTGAATTTAGAGGGACGTAGTACGATATACTGATTATTTCTAGAGATATAAGGAGGAATTACAGGCTTCATTTTAAAATAGGATGAAACTGTACACATTTCAGTCTGTTAGAATAAGTGATGCTCCCAGTGCGGGTTTGAGGGTGAGTTCGTGAAAAAGTGTGATCATTAGTTATAGCCATGGCAATGCATGTCTTTTGTTTATAATAAATAATGTATGGCTTCAAGCCGCTGCTGTAATTGAAAATATAAAATCGACAATAATAAAGTGTTTAGTGGTATTAGTCGTTTATTC